GTCCATGTTGGAAGAGTAAGGGAACCAGAGTCCACCGTCCTTGGGCCATGGCAGCAGCAACCTGCTGGGCCTTCCTCCTCCTTGTCTTCTTCTGTTGTATCCAGGCCCAAGACTATTACAAGATGCCATTCACATTCAAGGCAGGTCTCCCCAGTTTGCTGTTCCACATGCCAATCATCACTGGAACCAACCCCATAGAACATCCAGAAGTCTCTTAATCTTAGGCATCTGTCAATCCAATCAAACTGACAATCCAGATCAACTATTTCAACAGAGCCTAAGAACTGGCTGCCAAAGCAGAAGACACCGAGAAACCAAAGACAGAGGTGGGCAAATCTGAAATTGCACAAAGTGGAATAGTTCCTACTTCGGAGGGAACTGACAGACACTAGTGCTTCTTCTGCCGGAAGAAGGAATTGATGTGCTAAGCTAGAAAAAAGTGGGCTGCAATCAACTGGTATATATCTGGGCTTTTAAAAATATAATTAACATGTTAAATATTAGTTAATAAAGAATCCAGTCATAGCATAAAACTTTCATTTGCGTATCTTAACTTTGTTTCTCTTACAGGGTTTAGAACATATGCCACGCATGGGCAAAATGGTGGTCAGGACCAACATGAATGTGGTTTGGTTAAGTCGAGTCCCTACAGCCTCACCTGAAGGCACCATGTAAGACCAATAGCCTCCAAATTCAGGACATCATATTAAACCAATGTATCTTCAAGATTAGGCAGCCAGTCCCCAAGTAAATGTCTGAGGGACTATAGCCTAGCTGAATACCCTTTGATGGTCAGGGAACAAGTAGATTCAGAGGGCTCTTTAGGAAAGCAGAGCCAGAAGAGTATGGAAACATGACTTCTTAGAGTCAGCATTCAGAAAAGTGGGATGGAAGGGAAAGGATGCTTTGGCCAGCACCCCAGATACTTCAAGGAGAGATGAAGGGACAATATTTCCTGTTCTGTTATTTTACAGAGAATCACATCTCAACAGCATGGAAGAGTGGAAAGAATGTCAACTTTGCTATCAGAGGTGCAAAATCCCTATTATTAGCCAAATAATATTGAAATTTTGTTTAATATTTCTGAGCCTATGTGTCTACATTTGAAAGAAAAAATTCAACAAGATTCTTACCAATGATTTATATTCACTAATAGATTTCTAAATTTCTCAAGAATATGAAAAATGGCCAAAAATATTTGTCTCACTTCTCTCCCTTCGTCTTTTTCCCTAAATAACTATGACAATTCTCAAATCCTCTGCATTTAAAAATATTTGTCTCAGCAGAGTGGTTAGAAATTCATAATATGCAATCATATTACCAAGGACCCAATCTTATCATCATCATTCATAACTGTAGTCTTGGGTAAGCCATGTTAATCATTTTTTATTTCAGCAATTTATCAATTATAAAATAGTTCCTACTTCGGAGGGTTGTAGTAAAAAGTCAAGGAAAAAATGCAGGAAAGATCTCTGTGCATGGCTCAGAGAAAGTGCTAGTATAAACTTTCCCAGCCACTGCTTTGCCTTATAGAATAGTACTTACAGCATCTGTCTCCCTTCACTCCATCTGACAGGCCTCGCTTTGGCAGTGCATTCATCACCACCTGTGGGATACCTGGGTTTGGCTAGTACCCTTCCCTATGGCAGAGTGCCTTCATCTCTGCCTGCTAGCATCATTCACCCTCCAGTGCACCTGGACTGATACGCTGGCATCCTACTGACTGAAGCACAGCCACAATCTCCCACTGAGCATCTCCATTTCACAAAGACAAGCTCAGCCAGGGGCCTTCAGACTTCTTGGCTGTTCCCAGGTGATGACCAAGGAATGTCACACCAGTTTGCAAGATGAAGTTGCATACTTTACTTTTCTCTGGGTTGCCGATAGAAGAGGAGCCAGGTTTATTTCAGCTCTAAAAGTACTTCGAAGATCCTATGTTAAAGTGAAAATCATTTGATTTGAAATGTAATATTGATGATGATTTTCTCTTTTGCAGGTATTCTCAAATGGAATATCTGTGCATTTAAATATTGATGCACTGTGTAGAATTAGGAACATGAGACCTGTCCAAAGTTAGATAATACACTAAATCTGTTTTATTTTAAAATAAAGTGGATTTTTAAAAAGAGAGAGAGGATGAGAGGACAAGGTTAGTTATGCGGTTATTTTTTTTTTCTTTTAAGCTAAACCAATTTTGATGAGTGAATCTGGCAAAACTGCATATCCAGGTGAGCAGATATTATTATAACATAATAGTGCAATGTTTTTTAATTGCCTCATTCTCTCATTTTATTGTGGTTTCAGGCTCACTTCAGCATATATGCATAATTTCCTCAAATCCTGGAAAATTGAGTGTACTTGACTTTCTGTCTTACTCCAAGATTGCAGGCAGGATTGGGGTTTAGTGGCTGCATGAGCAACCCATTGCCTGATTCTCTTCTCTTTGATAGCTGTCTGACCTTGGGTTCTCTGCTGAGTCTCAGATCCCTCCAACAGCTGGCCCTGAAGCTGATCTGCTACAGCATGTCCTCACAGAGGACCTTAAGAAACACAAGAGAGAAGACAATAATGTATGTTTCTTCAGGGTGGGGAGAGAGAGACCCAGTCCTCAATCTCTTTTCTCAGTACATAATAACAGCCCCCAAATAAATGATCATTTGCCACTGAAAAATACAACATGAGTTAATTAGTTTTCTCTCCAGTCAGCTGGCAATATACATGGCTAAAGGTATTTGCACTAAGTTTATATTTAGACCAAATGTTTAGGACTGGTCATCACCTGTGCTTTTGATAAATATAATTTTTCAGTTTGGAAGCTGTCATTATGCCTTAATCCCAACAGTTCTACAGGGAACACAATAAAAGGGAAAATAAGTGCTAAAATGTAAACTACTGACCCAAATTTGGGGCTTGAACAACAGCATTTGCCGACTCCTAATGCTGCTGAATAATTTAAAACTTTTTATCAATTGTTTCCCATTCTTCTTATCAATAAGGGGAAAACAAGTGGTTCATAAGAGACTTACCTCTATCCACAATAACAATGCTACTAAATACCTATTTTTTTCCTTTCTGTTTCAAAGCTCTCAGACACACAGTATCTCATTTAATTCTCATAACATTTGTGAGGGTTCGCAGACAGAAATTCCAACAGATGAGGAAAATGAAACTTAAGAAGCCTGAGAGAGTTCCAGGAGATCACAGAATGATGAAATGGCTGGCCTCAGGCTGATTTTAGGGTCCTTATTTGTCAAGAGCAGCTGCTCCAGTCTATACATGTTGCCCCAGTATAAATATCACATGATTCCTCTCCACTCTCAAAAGGGAATTTAACTAATTCCATGATCACCCTAGCTAGAGAACATGCTCCCTGAGTCCCAGTCCTGACCCTGTTCCATGGCACTAAATTAGATTTCTGGATCTATCTGCTCCTTTGAAGTCATCATCCTGTCTCAGGCAGGACCTCCTCAGCTGCAGCAGGGTAGAGCAAAGATAAGCCATGCATGTAGGCAGAGCCACCTCTACATGTGAAAATCTTGTTTCCTGATGGACTTCCTTCAGGGCAGTGGCTCTTAAACTACTCTCAAGAACATCAATTTCTTGGACAACCTGCTGAAAAATGCCCTGAAGTTTGATTTGCTTTTCTATCAGTATTTCTCCCCAGAGCATGCAGTCTAGAAAACCCTGAATCGTTACCATAATTATATATATATATATATATATATATATATATATATATATAAAGATCAAAGAACTGACATTAATTTCTACTCGCTGGACAGTTTAGTAGTTCAACTGAATTCCATTAAATGTGATTTCATTATTAATAAATATCAAATGTTTTTATCAAGCATTCAAAGAGTTTCATTTTGTCTTTGTGGCTTCTTTAAAATTTGAATTTAAATTTAAGCCATCTTTTTTTTCTATGAACACATCTTGCTTTTTGGTCCAGCCTGAAAGTTGCTAGTTGCATGTGAGGTCTGTCTGGGTCTTATCAGCCTCAGGTTCATAAATATAGGTAGCAAGTAGCCAACTATGGGAAACGGAGCCCACCAAACCAATCTTGGGTCGGTCAAATGAAATGCAACTAAACACAAAACCCCTGCACGGAGACAGCTCTGCATGATTGATTTGTTGTGCTTTTGTGTTTGCATTAGTTTGACCCTTCAAACAATTTTGTAACATAAACAGGACAAATATTACAAAGTAGAGACAGGACTATTTGACTTCTGTTTGTTTGCCCCTCCCACCCCTCCACACACACACCCAGTTTGGTCCATCATCACTCTTCCTGAAGTCCCTCTGTCCATTGAGGCATCTCAGTATGTCTTCTGTTCCCCACTCCCATGACACCCCTAAACCCTAGTCAGCTGGCTTTCAATAAGTCCCTTCCTTGCAGGACTTCTTGCAGATGACCTCCCTGTATGGTCAGGAATCCCAGAGAGGATCCGGCCATCATGAAGTGAGGACCCACAAACCTTAGTCTTAGGGGCATATGGGCAGAGGGCCTGCCCTGAGCCAGTTCTCTCTTGGCCCTGGGTTTGTCAAGATAATAAGATATGACTTCTGTCTTCACTAAGATTCTAGCCTACCTAGGTAAACAAGTATGAGGTGATCCACCTATTCTGACAAAGTAACGGGACAGAAGGGACTAGAGTGCACCGCTCCGGGAAGGTGTGATTCAGAAAAATGACAGTTAAGCTGGGATATGAATAGGAACAGGAGTTGGTCAACTAGTGAGGGTTGGTCAAAGGAAGCACTATGAACAATAAGATCACTGGCTCTTTTCCCAGGTAAGTCTCAAATATCAAGACTGTCTTCAATACTTGTTTTTTGTTTTTGGTTTTTTTTTTTTTTGTCACCTAGCCTCATTTCAGGGCTCCTAACTTGATCAGATATCATAGTTTCTACTAAGTATCAGCTCATCCCCTATGACTTGCAAACCCTCACACTTAAAAGACAGTGCACAAGATAGGCAACACCCATTTTGCATGTTGGAATAAGCAGTAAAAAACGAATATATTTGTGTTATCAACAGTTGTTAGAAAACAAGACTGGATTGAAGAATCATTCAGACAGGGATGTGTAAATAGTAGAAGGCACAATGAACATATGGCATAAATAGTTCTGGAGCTGGCAGGGGAGCAGGTAGAAAAGATGGAAAAATACCCATGATCAGGGTTCTTTTCTCCTGGAAAGGGAGAAGAGCAACAGATTACAGGGCATGTGCACAGCAGGACCTCAGGGACCCACACGCAGGCCACAGCAGCACCATAGGCAAGTCACACTGCGCAGCAGGAACAGGGAAGCCCTCTGGACTGCGTGGTGGTGAATCCCACAGGTCCAGTGCCCGGGATTCTGCAGCTGCCACAGCACTCATGACTTGGTGACACAATCCTCTGCTTCAGGCACCAGCTGGTCTGAGGAGACAAGGCAGTAATTAGAATAATTAGGACAAATCATCACAGTGAATTAATGAAACACCAGTCGCCCCCTGAGCTCCGTGGTGGGGTTTAACAAAGAGTGTAACTCCCAGAAATGCTACAGACAATAAACATTCCTGAACTTCTGTGGCACTGCCTGTGTCAAGGGGACAGATCATTAGGAGAAAAACAACTTCCCCTGTTCCAGCTTTGGCCAATCTGGTCAATTTGGACACTTGTTTTACTGATTTTTTTATTAGGATAAGATCCTGGAGGTCAGATAGCGGGGGATAGCACAAAGGCATTACAAATGCAATTATTGCAGTTGAATCACATGCAAATGTCCTCTTCCTCGAAGAAAGAAAGAAAAAGTAAAAGCACAAGAATGTTCAGCTTCTTTCACTCTGGATCCTGAACTACAGGCAAGAGTCTGACATTTTGGCAGACCTTCACCCTGATGTGGCCACATTGCATTCTGTAGGATCCAAGTGTGTCTGAAGCACCCTGTGCAGAACTTACATCTAGGATACAGACACTGTGCTCAGCATGGTCCAGAATGGTTGTTTTCCTATGTAATATGCACAGTTTTCATATACAGTCCTTCATACATGCAAGCTTTCTTTCCATGGTTTGTCACCAGAGTCAACTGTGGTCAATACGGTACAGTAAGGTATTTTGAGAGAGAGAAAGAGACCATTTTTGAGGAAGGATAGAAAGAATAAAGATAGAAGAAGACAAAAGAGAAGAAAAGAGACTATGGCTTTAAATCTAAAAGCCCCTTGATTACTCCCCAGGCTTCTCCCTCTTCCTGGCCCATCACTCCCAAAGTTCTGAGAAATCTACAAATCTTAAAGTTGCCATAAGTTTATTCATTTATGAACATTACTTCCTTTTAATGCAAAGACCACTGTTAGTTAGCTTACCCGGTGTATTGAAGATTAAATAAAGCTAAGGGTGGAATATTTTAAGAAATCTATTGTACATGCACATTCCAAAAGTTATTAGATGGAAGAGACAGTGAGCTTCACATTTTTTTTCCTAATGAAGTTCTTCCTCTTTGCTCAAATCTGATACTTGATTAAATTCTTTTTCTAATGTGCCAAGAGCCAAGAGCTTGGAAGGTCTGAGTAGAGGTCTCCTCTGCTTGTGAAGAGACCTCTTTGAATCCCTCATGGTGATACATTTGCATAACTTTGATCATGGCACAGTGTTTTAACTCTTTTGTTTATTATTTTTGTTCCTCTTCTACTGCACCTAATTTATAAATTAAATTTTATCATATTGTATAAATATAGGAAAATATATATATGGATTTGGTACTATGTGCATGGTTTTAGGCATCATCTCAAGGTCTTGGAACATATTCCCTGTAAATAAATGCAGCCTGATGTAAAATAGATATTATTATCTCTAGATTACATAAGAGAAAACTGAGATTTAGGCTGATTATGTAACTTACCCAAGTTACACAGAGAGGAAATGACAGACAAGACTCAAATAAAAGGGTCTAATTTTACAACTTAGATCCTTTCAACTTGAGTCCACAACTTTCTGTGACTACCTCTGTCTTGTTGAAGAGTGTCCCTCAGCTCAATGGCATTTGCCTGAAAAATAAAAATAAAGTCCAATCAATTATGAATGAAGATTCTCAAATTCTGCTCTTCCAGTTCTCTGGAAAGGATGACACTCTACATTGTAATTACATTCAATCCACAAAATTAATTCTGAAGGAACAAACAGAAAACTCTATGTTTTCCAGGTGTGTAGCTGTCATCAATAACATCCTGGACCAATATTGTTAAAATCAAAAGCAATCGAAGGTGAATATGAAAGAAAGAACCTCCAGAAAACATAAAGTCAATGCTTTCAACACTTTAAAGTTAAGTAACAGACATTTGCAAGGTGGTCATAAAGTTGTCTACAAAGTACTGAAGAAGGTTGACACAGTTAACATTCCCCCATGGGAATGAGCCTATGCTCTGTGATCTAGCCAACACAGGTGCATGAAAAACAAGTTAAAAAAACAACTCCAAGTTCCTAATGACTTGAGGGAAATGCCCTAGTTACCCATCAGACCACTTTCTCACAAAATCTGATGATTTTGAGGTTGGATGATGGTTTCCATATATTCTTATCTTTCTGGTAAGTAGAACTACGGTTGTACTAGCTTTCCCATTTAAATTCCATAACAAAGTTATAAGGTAGATAATATTTATTCCCACTTTTAAGAAAAAACCAGAAAGAAACCTTGAGTCTTGCAGAGATTAAGAAATGGTAAGGTCACGGTTAAAAACTCACAGAACTAGGATTCACACTTTTCTTTAGTGAGCATATATGTGTGTGTATGTGTGTGCACATGTTTATGTAAGTGTATACACTGTGAAGGGAAATGATTTCACAGATTTAAGTATCACCTGCACTGCTCTGTTTAGATATATAATGTTAGCTACCAGCTACCATCTTGAAATTTAACTTTAAGAAAATGATAGCCTAAAACTGTAGGGGGCACAGCTACAGATATTAGCCAAGTCCTTCATTGTGGTAAAAGGATCAAACCCCAGGGGGTGTACTGAATCGCCCAGTACTCACAGATTTGGTGGCTGATCTAGGACTGTCACCAGGAGGGCTCTGTTCCAAGCACAGTATTCATCATGGTTTGAATACACTGCTTCATAGGTGGCAAAGTACACACACACATACACACACACACACATACACACACACACACACACACACCCCAGTAGTGGGGAAAGAGGCTATTTTTTAGTCCGGATTACATTTCTTACCACTGAAATCTCTACTGCTTTGTCTCCTGCTACGCCCAGGTATTCACTCTATTAGCATCCTCACCAGGGGAAAAAGAAAAGACGATTGGAAACAAAGTGGAGGAAAAAACCGTAGGACTCCCACTCCTACCCGCTTCTTTGACTGCCTCTTCCACTTTCTTTACCTAGTCCCCTGAGCTCCTTGTTAGGAAAATCGTTTACTGCGCGCCTATTGTAGGTACAATTGAATCCCGCAGCCGGCCAGCGCAGAGAGCGCTCCGCAGGCGCACCTGGGGGAGGGAAGCCGGCCAGCCTCCCTGGAGCCCGGGAGGGAGGGAGCCTCCTGCAAAGGCAGAGGCGGCTTCCCAGCTCAATCATGCACCACCTGCTTTTTTTTTTTTTCTTCCCCCTGTCTTTAAAAGGTAAAAAGAGGTCAGGGGGGAATTCAGTTGACAATTCAGCCAAACACAAGGCAGCCACAAAATAATAGCCGCCTCAGGAAGCTGGGATGAATAGCCATTCATCAAGGGGAGGCCTCCCAGCGCGGGCTGCTCAGCTCTGAGCCGCATTTAGCAGAGCTTGGAGCCCAGTGCGGAAGCCTGACTGCACACTCTGTAGAGAATAATTGAAATTAAAAGTACATTCCAAGGGCTCCAGTACCCTTGCCCCCTCTGACCCTTGTTTTGTTCTGCTTTAGACAGAGTTTATGCTTATGTCCATAAGCTTATGCTAGAAGAAGTTAAGCCTCTGAGATGCAGCTCTGGTGTGGAGGGTGAATGCAGAGTGCTGAGCCCTGGGATGGACTTCCTGTAAAAGGTGCTGGTTCATCCTGGCTCAGCTGAGATCTCAGCTTTCCTGAGTAAGTGAAGGCTGGATTAGTTCATTGGCAAGTTCTGTGTCCCTCTCGGTGCGGGGTGTGCCCCACTGCACCCACGTAGGTGGCTGCTGCAGTTTGCTTTTGGAGTTGTTGAAGGCTACCCCACCTGCTGTGAGTTCTGGAGGTGGTGAAGCTTTAGGAGGCAGGGCCTAATGGAAGGAGCTTATTTCTTGGGGGCTTGCTCTTGAAGGGGTTATTGGGACCTAAGACCCACCCCCTTCCCCTTGCTCTCTCTTATCTTTTCCGCAGCCGTGAGGTGAACTGACATCCTTGATCTATACTCCCTCCTTTATGAAGCCAGAATTAGGCAACCAGGATAGATAGGTAAACCGAGTCAGGTCAGATGCTGGAGGCCAATTTTGAGTGAGCCCTGCAAGTTGGAGACTGTCCCCTGAGGGATTGAAATGTTAACTCCTTCAGAGCCCTTCCTCCAGCCTTATCAAGAAACTGCCCCTGCTCCAACCTGTTGCCAAGGTAACCTCCCTACAGGGAGCTATAAAGTTGTTAATTAATGTGTCCAGGGTTGTACCATCTGGCCTTTCCCCCTGAAAGGCTGAAGCCCACCGGTTTGTCACCTTTTGGCCATCCCACTGAGAGCGTTCCTGGGCCCAGTCACTACTCAGAAAGGAGAAAAGTAAGGGGAAGAGGGCAGGAAAACAAAGGAATGAATCTAGGACACATAAAAAGGACAGAACACCTCACTTCTGGGGATACCAGGATACCAGCTATGGCCCCTGTCTCTCTCCCAGGAGAAGTCTCTATTACCCCTTTTTAAATAAACCCTGCTTTATATGCTTGGCTCTGCGAGCTTCTCTAATGTTCAGACTTCAACATTGATGATAACTGGTGTTATCACCACCATAGGAAGAAAAGCAACAGGGCAAAGCAAACTGGCCGAAAACGTGAGCAAAAATAAACCTTTTCTCTTTTTTAAGTAAATTTATTTCAGTATTTTTATAGCAACAAAGCTGACACTGGGAGACCAATCACAGATTTTGGACAGAAAGGACCACAGCTTGGGCCTCCCTGGCATGCTTGGCCTATGATACTTGGCAAGATAATTCCCTCACTTAGCACTTAGTTTCCACCTGTGTTAAATGAATTTTCAGTTTAACGAAGTTTCGGTCTAAAGCAGTATTCCTAGACATCTCCAAAGAAAAATTTAAAGGAGGGCCTTATTTGTAGGACAAATGCAAACTACTGCAATGGACAAAACCAGGAGATGAGCAGGTGCTGGACCCAGGAGTAGGAGTACTAAAATAAATGTAGGAGTACTAAAAAGCCCTTAGAATCATGCCAGAAATATAAAAGTTGTTCAGAGAATCTGAGAGAGTCTCTCTTGCCTTATTTTGTGTTATAGTTAACATATGGGAAACACCTATTTAAAATATAATTTCCTTTTTCAGTGCTAGGGTTCAAACCCAGGGCCTCCTGCAATACTAGGCAAGCTCTCTCCCTTTGAGCTACATCCCCAGGACTTTTTCAGTTTTGAGACAGAGTCTCATAAGTTGCTCAGCTTGGCTTTGAACTCTGGATCTCCTAGTAGCTCAGATTCCAAGTATGTGCCACCACACCCAACTTGAATGCAATTTTTGATTACTTAATGGTGCCAATAAAAGAATTAGGCATTAGCTTATCACTGTGTGTAAAAGATCCAGTTATCATCTTCCATCTCCTTACTATTTTTCTTCCTTGTACTTACCACTAACTGACACCAGCTCATGTGTTCAGTGTATATTACTCTTATTGGATGCACACTCAGGGGAATCAGGATTCTGCCCATTTTATTTGTCACCATGTTCCTGGTGTTATCATGAAAGGGCTTACTACCTAAAATTCATAGAAGCCAAACTACAGGCACTGGATTTTTGTAAAAAAGAAAAAAAAAAATCCTTCATGAATGATGTGGTCAACTGGCAAGGAGGGACCAGAAACTATAAGCTCAAATCTGCCTTCCTGAACATTGGGGAATTTACAGGAAGGAAGAAGAGAGAAGTTGCTTAATGATTGGATGCTGACTGGGGGAGTTTTTTAATTCTTTGGTGCATATGAAAATGGTGCTATCCTATAGTTTGCAAGTTTCTTTTCCCAAGGGATTTTGACCTTGTGACATTTTGAAAAACCACTTCCAAAATATTCTTAAGTGGATCCATCCTTGGATGGAGGCTTTTCTTGAAAGACAACTTGAACACTTTGTTATTTGAGGAATTTATGTCCAGGCATTACCTGATTTCCCTAGCATTTAAAATAATGCGTGGTGCATGGTGAATATTTGTGAATTCTGATGCTTTTCAACTAGCAATTGGGTAACCTCCACATAAACCCATTGTAAATTGAAAATATTGAGTGAGTTGAAAATGTATTTAATACACATATTTTACCAAACATAACTTAGTAACACAGTACATTATAGAGTATTAACTATCCCTTATGATTCTGTGGCTGACTGGGTGCTTGGTCTTGGCTCACTGCTACTGCCCATCATCATGAAAGACAATCCTACCCTTACCTACTAGCCCAGGAAAAGATCAAAGTTCAAAATTTAAAGCAGGCCTTCTATTCCAAGTGTATTGCTTTTGTACATGGTAAAATTAAAATAAATAAATAAATAAAAAGATAGTAAGATGTAATGGATGCTGGGGATCAAATCCAGAGCTTCATGCATACTAGATAAGTGCTCTATGACTGAGCTGTACCCCAAGCTAGAGAAAAGCCTTTTATATCTCTATTTCTTTCTTTCCTTTTCCTCTTTCATTTTAATTATTCTACTTTACTTTTTCCGACTAATGGGAAAAGTCTTTTCCTGTTTTCCTCATCAGTTGGTGCACGAATAGTCACAAAATTATGCTCATAAATTGTAGACCCTCTGTATATATCTGGATTTCTCAGAATTTGGTTAGACTTCTGCTTTTCCCCTAACTTGCAAAATAGGTGTGGACAGCTTTAAAACTCTGCAATAAGA